TTTAAAAAAGAATCCAATAAATCAAATGCAAAAATGCCAAATGTAAAACAAACTTCCAGAGGATCATGATTTCCAAGTAGAAAGCGAAAGACATTGTTTCAGTAATTTCCAAGAAAACAAGACGCAAAGAGACTAACTTACTCAAGTACCACAAAGCCGATGGCTAAGCCGGCGGCGAAGATCCAAACCACCCCAATCTCTCTTTTTTTTTTTTTTTTTTTTTTCTTTTTTTCAATAGTGCAGAATCATTTACAGCACGCCATATTGCTTGGTCATTTATACAAACACTAGAAAGCTAACCTTTTTATTTATGATTGTTGATTTAAGGTTCGGGGGAAAAGAGTGACGGTCGGGAAGGACTGCCATCATCTAAAGAGTACTTCTTGCTTGCCTTACAATTCATTGTTGTTAATAACAAGGGGCTAAGGACAAATATTAGAACTGTTTATGTTCAGCCAGTTGGAAGTAGTTGCCTGAATTGAGGCAAATGTTACGAAAGGTCTTCCTAAAAAAAACTTGATCTTCAGATAAAAATTTAGCTTTCTAGACATGCTGTGGAAGCATGAACTTGTAGCTCTAGGATGTTTAAATTTACTCCTGGAAATGAATATAGGCATGTATTAGAATCTCTATACTTTTTTTTTTTTTTTTGGTTCTGTCCATTGTATTCCAAAAAAAGAGTTGGGGTAGTGGAATATGGAAAGAAAACTGATTTTAGAATGTATGCCATTTTCTTTTCTTCTACTGTGATTGAACTGTATGCATTCTTATGTATAAACCTGCTTCTCAACTGGCAGGATATTGAAGAAGTTGAAGAGATATGGAATTTCTGGCATACTGTCTTATGGGCTGTTGAATACAGCCTACTACTTCACAACATTTCTCTTGGTGTGGTGAGTAAAATGTTATTCTGGAGAGAGTTAAAATGCTGGGCTATGTAGTGGGTGACATGTTGCATGCATGGTGAAAGGAAATTTGCTGCTACATTGGGAAGAAGACTCCGGCCAAACCTTGTAGGGAGATATAATTCAAATCAAATTATATTCCAACAAATACACTATAACATCTCAGCAGCTTTGATGTGATAAGTTCTTTACAACTGTTAATGCAGTTACTGGTGGCTGAGCCTGTTTTTCATTGTTTACAGTCATACCATTTAGCTTACTTCTATATGAATATGCCATTAACATCCAAGGAACGGCTTCACTTGCTTTGTAGGTTTTATGTTGCACCAACCCCCAGAAGAATGGGTTATGCTGCAGCTGCTGAGAGGTATGATCCCATTCTTTAGAATGTTTATGGGACTGTAAATTATATGAAGATTCTTTTGCCTTGCAGATTTATCAAGGTTATGGCTATGGTTTGGGCTGGAAGCCAAGTGACTAAGCTTATTAGAGCTGGAGGGTAAGTTGCTATTTACTCTAATGTCTTCCTAGATTGGGGTTGGGGTTCTTTTATCACCAGGACTTGCTAAGTATATCTTTGTTGTTTACAATTGTAGTTTGACTGATATAAGTTCCATTTATTTGATTGTTTCTTCAAACTCCCATATGTTGCAGCTGCATGTACTAGGTATATATAAGAGGGTTATTAGCTAAATGCTGAAGTGTCAAGGTCTTTTCTACATCTTGAAATTAGAGATTCTTAAGAATTTTTGTGCTCCTATATGGTATAATATTTTAATTGGAAACAGATCCATTATTTTTCGAGAACCATAAGAGGAGTTTTTCTCCTTGCAGGGCCCTTACTCTTGCCCCAATTGTCGACAGAGGGTTGTCATGGTTCACCACCAAATTTAAGTTTGAATCTCAGGGAAAGGTACATGAAACTTAAATGTCAAATGTTTATATATGGTTAAGCTGCAACCATCTTAATGCCTTAACATTGTCTCCAGGCTTTCATGGCAATTATTGTATTATGTTTCGGACTGGCTATGATGCTGTTCTTTGTGGTGACATTGCTTTGGGCATGATACTCCCCACTTTTGTTCTTCCTTGACTGGATCGGTTGGTACCTGTCAAAGGTTATCATTAACAGTTGAAGACATAGTTGGTCTCCGTTTGGATTGAGAGCTACCATCATTCTGTTGATATCCAAAGATAAAAGGAGAAATCAAACAAAATTTTCATTTGATAAATCACTACGTTTCAAAAATAAAAAATCTTATGTTCATAAAAATACAAAATCTTCAGTTTTGACATTGAAAGCTTGTTGGGAATGATTATTCCTAGTGTACAAATATAAATTATCTTACTTTACAGGCAGTGTTTGGATGATGATTTTGATGATCTTTCTTTACTACCTAAACATTGATGACTGCCAAAACAACAACAGGAGACCAGAAAACCCATCGCAGTCACCTCTCAAATTCTTGCAAGCCTAAAAGGTCATAACTTTGAAATCCTTCCTTGGGAATACAAAAAGTTGTTTGCTTGGTTGGTAACAACTTATTTCCACTTTCGTCTGCTGTGGTTTCAAGACCACATGCATTGCATAAGGATTCCATATCTGATTCCTGTAAGAAACTCATAAGTCATAATTCAATGCCAAGGATCAGAAAATATGTTTCAGAAAATCCATTGACGGTAAGCAATACCTTCATCATCAAAAGTTTCGACAAGTGTGTCAAAGGATATGGATGAAGCTTGTAGCAGCAATTGTTTATATATGAAACTGCCAGAGCTCGAACCTTTATGGTATCCGAGAAAAAAACGTAGATGCAGGAAGCGTTATCAATATGTTTTGTAGGCAGCATCATGAACAAGTGTCAACAATCATAATAGGAAGATGGAGCAAGTAAACACTGCTTTTTTCTTGCTGCAAATTTCATCCCAACTTATGCAAACTTTAACCATATGCTATTGACATACATATTATAATTATGTGCAGATCAATTTGGTCAATGCTAAGGTTAAAAAGGATAGTGTCCAAAAGTGAAATGAGGATGACACAAAAAGCTTAAGACAAAATTGGATATATTTGATTACCTCGCCTATGTAAAGTTTCATAATGCAGTACTGTAGATATGATGCCTCTCCAGCTATGGTACAGAAAAAAGACTTATAATTACCCATCCGGAAATATCTGTTCAAAAGATCAAAAGATTTCTCAGTTTGCTTCAAAAATGAAATTATGAGAAAGAAAAATGTATAAAGGTCGCAAACAAGATGGGCAGAAAGAAAAGACAAAAGATGGAGAGGTAGTGACACTTGGTTACCGTAAAACTCTCCGGGAAAAACACATTTCTTTTGACTTGATGATTGAAGACGGCAAGAGACGTAACCACAAAGAAAGTGACTCACCCTACAGATCAATGCTAGCTATTAGGACCAACAAGACAGCTAAGTATCAATAAGTAGGAATTGAAAAGAAAAACAATGAAATAGAGATCAACCATTGGTTGGCTCCTAGAATTAAGGTGCAGAAGCACATAAAATGAACGGAACTCAGCTTCATTCTCAAAAACAGAGTTGACGTTCCGATTTAAATCATATAGATTATATAAAGAGGCCAAAGCCTTGGTAAGCTGCTCCATGTTGAGGTAACGCAAAGAAGAAATGTTTGATCCACTACAACTTTGAAGCTTGAGGTGAGATATTATATGAAATTTTACCTGTAAAATTAAACACATAAGGATCCAGCAACAGATTAAGCCCAAGGTGTTAAAATAGCTTAACATTAAAGAAAACTGATTTGTGAGATTCAAAATAAAAAGGATAAATAATGAATAGTTGTTTAGAGATGTTTCTCCCAAGAAAATCATACCACTTCCTCATACATGTGGATGGCTCTTTCATTGACAATATTCTGCATGCTAAGATCCTGCCTAATGGACCTTGTCCTATCAAAAATGAAGTCATGAACAACTTCGAAAGGATGATCGCTGGAATCCAGCAAGTCTAGAAGGTATTTCAATGTATCTTCCAAAACTGGAAGAGGCCGCACATCTGATGCTTGGATATACTTGTTGGAGATAGTTCTACAAAACTAGCAAGAATGAGGGAGTGTATTAGCCTTCCACATCAGAAGAAAACATATGAGAACCCAATAAGAGTTAGGTTCCATATTCAACACACATCAAAACTACATACAGAAAATTACTACCAAAGTGCATAGAGTTAGAACCAAGAAGCATTGCTAGTCCTGACCAAGGCCATCGCTACCAACCATTAATGACTTTCGTCATCAAAGTATATATTAAAATAAAGTGTTGTGTTGATGCAAGAGAGACCAAATCGTTTCAAAGTAAGAAGTCGCAGATAAAGCTTACCTTTTTGACAGCTAAATCTGGTGATGTTTTTCTAGGATCTCCATTTAACCTCTCAAAAACAGCCAAATCTCGTAGCCGCTCCCGTTGAGTCCTCTCCCCTTCTGTTATCATAGAGATACAATTAAAAGAAAAAAAACCCAGTTTAGACTTCGGACACACCATCAAGAAATCACTAATTACTTCCCATGTTTTGCTGGAAGTAACAAGTGCAAATAAAGCAAATCAATTCTTCTTGGCTATTTTCATGGCTTAAATACATTAAAAATGCAGAACTCCATCTAATAAAATCCAAAAGAGGCATATAATTTAACACTAGGACCCAGAAACCATATCTGCTGATCTTAATAGATTTATAGAAAGGCTTCAAAGTAGGGACTTCAAGGAAAAGACACAATCAAAGGAGATGAATTTGCAGTTAAGATAAGCTAAGTACGCAAATTTACCTGGACACATGAAAAGGCAAGTTCCAATTACAGGAGTAAAGGAATCATCGGTCCCTCCTTCTTCTCCCTTCTCTTCTTGGCTACTATTTCTTCTGTGTTTCCAATTAGGGATTTGCTTGAGATCCCTTGAATTGTTAAGACTGCTGGTTGAAGTGCTCGAAACAAAGTTCGAGGATTTGGTCGGATGAGAAGAGAGTTCGCGACGACGAAAACCTCCTGTTCCGGTGAATGAAGAAGAATGGGAAGAGGGAGGGTTCCGGTTTCGGCGACGGTGATGTCCACTTTCATCCATGGCGTTTCCCACCTGTGGCCAGCACGATGTTCGATTATCAATAATATGATACAGGTAATTAGCTGAATCTGAAAATTTTATATTAATGCATTAATAAGGTCTCGAAGTTTCACTCAATTCGCAATTAAGGTCCCAAAAATCACAATTCTCAAATAAGTCCGAATTGGACAGAAAGCGATAAGTCCATGAAAAAAAATCTAGATCCACTGAAAGCCCTACCAAAACCAAAACCAAGACCTTAGCTGTGAGTTTTCGCCCAACATCAACATGGCCAAAATCCTTAGAGGGAGTTTGCTTTCTTCAATATAGAAGCATTATTGCATAATATCGACAATAGTAACTCCATCGTTCACTATTCAATTGTCTGGATATTATTCAGAATTGGTGCCGTCAACCTCCAAAAATCTCCAAATTGACAAAGAGGTAGATCAAAAATCTGCATCCCTTCTCAATTTATTGAAAGCTTACGGCATTAATGAAACCCACATAAAGAGTTTGAATAAATGGAACCCCATTGTTCTCCAATGTAGAGCAAAGACTGACTTGAAGCCCACACTTGAGTGGCTTATCAAAAATGGTTTCACGGGTATGATTCTAACTAAGCTCATCGTGTTGAATCCTCATATTATTACTTATAGCATGGATTCTAAATTGAAGCCAACATTCGAATTTTTAAAGGAATTTCTTGATACCAATGAAAAAATAGTGACTGTTGTTAAGCGATTATGGTGGTCACTCTGTGTTCATATTAATACTTTACGACAAAACATTCAGTTCTTGTTAAGTGAGGGGGTTCTTATTGAGTGTATATCACATTTGTTGACCTTACAACTAGGAGCTATATTGCAAAGACGTGATAGAATGGCTTATGCTGTTAAAGCGGCCAATTTCAAGAAGAAACTAGAATTTCATAAGAGTTTGGGATAAAGAGATGAGTAGGTCTCTAATACTCTTAAGAAGCATCTGTCTTGCTTGGCTTGTTCAGAGGAGAATCTTAGGAGGAAAATGGATTTTTATTTGAATACTATGGAGTTGGAAAGGAAGACAGTAATTGCCTACCCCACATTACTTATGTATTCATTGGATAAAAGGATTCATCCAAGGTGTGAGGTTATTAAGATTTTGAAGTCAAAGAAGTTGATTAAATAGGCAAAGAAGATTCCTCAAGTGTTATTGGTAGGTGAAAAGAAATTCTTGGAGGAATTTGTCATTAAGCACATGGCAAAGCCCTTGGTTTATTAGACATGTATTACAACAGTCTTGACCAAATAAAAAAACAACCAGGGGAAAATGGACAATAGTTGATTGTAAAGGGTAAGTTTTGACTTCCTCTCTCATGTTAAATTTATAAGATTGATGGTTAACAATATTGTCATTTTGGGTTTAAATTTTCCTTTGTTTTCTTTTTTTTTTGCTTTTTTTTTTTTGGTTGTAGTCAGGGAGGTTTTGGATTGTTGTTTTTTTATTTTTTTTGGGGTTCCAATTTTTTTTTATTTTTTTTTTTTTTTTCCATTTTGTTGTTACTTTCATTTTTTTTTTCCAGGTTTTTTGTCTTCCTTTTTTTTTTTTTGGCATTTTTCATTTGTTTTTCCCGTTTCGTTTTGGTTTTTTTTTTAAGGGCTTTATTGACCCTTTTCCTTTTTTCAGTTCAATTTTGCCGGTTTTGGTTTCCAGGGTTTTGTTTCGTTTGGGTTAAAGTTGTTTTTTTTACTTTGGGTTGGGTTTACAACAAGTGTTAGGTATTTGAGGGTGGGGAAATTTGTTTGTATTGCAACTCAACCTCTATATTTTCTCCTTTGTTCGTGGCATATTTGCAAATCACTTGATGTCTCAATTGCATAATTGCTTGGGAAATGGCATAATATGAACTGCATTATTCATTAACCTCATGTTTTTCATTGTTAAGGTGGGTGGTGTTAAATGGTTGTAGAGATGTACCCTTTTTGTCTAGAACTGTTTGTTCTATATCAACTTGAGCTAATTCAAAGAGATTTTGACTTTTTTTTTTTTGGCCTTCAAAATAGTAGCTATTATTTATAGGAAATGTTCAAATACATCAACTACTCAAATCCAGACCCAAGTCTTTCAAAGAAAGTGATTTTCATAGTTTGAAACCATTCCTTCAATCATGAAAAGACAACTTTGTATATGTTATGATCATATTTTTATGAGAAATGATTAGGTTGTAAGGAAAAAAAGAATCAAATCTAACTAATTTTTGTAAGGTGGTTAAGTGTAGTTGCTGTTATGTATATATATCGAAAGAACCAACGATATATTGATCTGAATAAAAGGAGTTCGATTTCTCTTCAATAAGGTTTAGAGTTCGAGTTTTATAAATAAAGAAATAAGTACTGAGAGAGCTCTCATTTATGGGGTTTAATGCAATTCGATTCCAAATTAGTTAGAACTCAATATAGTTATCAGATACTAAGATATTAATACGAAAAAATATATATGCCAAAAGACTCAAAATCAAGTGTAAGGATCAAAATGAGACAAATGAAAGGTCAATAACATAATGGAAAAGGCAATTAAAATTCAGGAACGGTTTCAAATAATCAAATTAACCGAAAAAAGTTTGCGGCTTTGCGCTTGTTAAAGCTCTATTGGGCCAAAAAAGAGCAAAAGAAAACAAGAATCGAGATTCAAGACAAGGCCCACTACCAAGGAGGCATTGCGCCTGGTGGTCGTTTACCACCTCCAGCTGACTGAAAACCCTAGCAAAACCTCAGCTGTGAGTCTGTGTCCAGTATGGCTAACGTCTTCCGAAAATGTCTACGTTCTCCAATGCAGAAGGGTTACTGTACGGCATCGCCAATAGTCTCTTCGCTTCCACGACGACCACCGTTCACAATTCAATCGAATGGGTATGCCTCAGAGTCGGCGCTATCATTCCCCAAAAACCGTCAAACTAACAAAAGGGAGCTCAGAGATCCGAATCTCTTCTCAATTAGATGAAAGCTTACGGCTTTAGCGAAACCCATATAAAAAAATTGATCAAAACGAACGCCAGTGTCCTCCAATGCAGAGCAGAGACCAACTTCAAGCCCAAACTCGAGTGGTTCATTGAAAATGGATTCACGGGTACGATTCTCCTGATCTTATTTCCTTGAATCCTTATATTATTACTTGGAGCCTGGACTTTAAATTAAAGCCAATATTCCTACTCTTAAAGCAATTTCTTGATACCAATGAAAAAATTGTTACTGCTGTTAAATGATCAGGCCGCTGGCTATCTAATAATAACACCCTAGAACAAAACATTCAGTTTTTGATAGGTGAGGGGGTTCCTGTTAAACTTATATGATATCTGCTCACTGCTCAACCAAGAGCTGTGTTGCAAAGCCTTTATAGAATTGCTTATGCCGTGAAAACTGTCAAAGACACTGGTCTTAAACCGGATGCTTTTAGCTTTATACATTTGCTTCGAGTGGTGATTCAATTGACTGAGTCGAAGTTGAAGAAGAAACTGGAAGTGTTTAAGAGCTTGGGATGGAGTGATGAGCAGCTCTTGAATACTATTAAGAATTATCCTATTTGCTTGTCTTATTCAGAGGTGAATCTGAGGACTAAAATGGAATTTTATTTGAATACCATGAAGTTCGAAAGAGAGGCTGTAATTGCCACGCCCGTGTTAATGATGTTATCTCTTGATAACAGGATTCGTCCAAGATATGAAGTTATGAATATTTTGGGTTCAAAGAAGTTGGTTAAAGATGGCCTGAAGATGATATGGGTGATGGAAATAAGTGAAGAGCGATTCTTGAAGATTTATGTTACAAAGCATGTTGACAAAGTACCAGGTTTGTTGGATATGTATTGCAGCATCATCAACCAAAGAAAGAAAACAGACAGGGCAAAACAGCTGGCTAGTTGATTACAGAAGGGTAAGTTTTGATTCTATCTCTAATTTGAAAGAATTGTTGGTTCCTGTTGCTATGTTTCCTGTTGCTATGTTATCTATGTTGACATTTTGAGCCCCGAATGATGGGGTCGGTTTGTCATTTAAAGAGACAACTATGGTTAGCTTATAACACAAGCCTGATTTGTGAAAAATATAATGACGACTATGGTTTTCCTACATTTGCAGGTCTTCCCCTGTTTTAATTGACTGCTGCTACTGTTGATGGTTGCATCAAAGTAGAACTTAAACTAGGCTTTAATTTTATTTCTATCCCATGTAAAGTTGCTCATGATGCAACTTCCAAAAGGTTGGTGAACTGTTGACTTCAAGAAACCAGGGATGGCTGCAGAAAAAGTTATCAAGGAGTGTGAGGCAGAACTTCTCCATGCTGCTCACAACCTCCATTTTCTCTTTGGTTCATTACACTTTTGCCAGACCGCTTTCAAAGTGAAGAAATGTCTTCAGCCTTGGCTAAGGTGGGTGGAGAGAACTGACCGACTTTAACCCAAGGTCTGTTCTTGGAAGATTCCAATTTGTTAAAACCATACGTTTTTGAATTTTGATGTGTAGTTTACCCTATTGAGGTTTCTTCTTTTGACATCT